CCCCCTCTGTCGTGCTGCCTCCACTGGACAACAAGCCCAGGGGCAAGGAGCTAGGGCTCTGAAGCCACACAGGTCCGAGTTCAAACCTGGCTCTGCCTCTTGTTGGCTGCATGAACTTGGATAAGGAACCACCCTCAACCAAGTCCCAGTTTCTTATCCAATAAAAGAGGACAGGAATGTCCTCCTCAGACTGTTCTGATGACAGGGGATGCGGCAGGAGCACACGCTACCCTCATCCCTCTCCTCTCAGCATCCCTCCCACCTGAGCCAAGCTGACGCACGAGCGCATGCCTCCTCTGACCCATCCCTAACCTGCTTAAGAGAGGGGAGAGACCCAAGTATGAGGCCCGGTCTCTCTCTGATTCCTTGAGTAACCCCAGGGGAGTCTTAACCCCTCACTGGGCCTCAGTTTCTTCACAAAAATAACTATTGGGGTCACCTATTTAAACCCTGCTTATTTCACTGGCTTATGGTGAAGAGTGAACAAAGGAAATGCCTTGGAAAAAAGAAGAGTTGGTGGCAGGGGGTTGGGGGAGAGGAGAGGCTGTGGGTTTCAAGGAGGCCAGGGAGGGAGACAGGTGAGAAGGTCCAGGGAGGACTGGATGACACTGGGACCAAGGCCATGAAGGGAGAGAAGATGGCAGATAGATTATTCAGGAAGTGGAACGTGCAGCAGTTGGTGCCTGACTTGGGGGGGAGGTTGCGGGGAGAGGCATCCTGGATAACATGGTCATCACTGACACAGGGAGGAGGAGGAGGAGGGGAAATGGTGGGAAGACGGTAAGGCCTGCAGGGGGCACAGAGAATCTAAGAAGCCCATGGGCAAGTGAGGAGGCTGCCAGAGCAGAGATTTGGGAGCTGTCTGTACAGGACTGAAAGTGCAGGAAGATGGTAACATTTCTCCAGAAGGATGTATGTAAAAGACAGACAGACGGTGTCCTTACTTATGCTGGGACCCAAAGAAGGAACACACAAGAACCCAGCTCACCGTCTGGATAAATCTTTTCCATGTTGCACAGTTTCATGGCTGGAAAACTAGTCGCAACCGAAACGTCCTTCCACCCCTGCAACAGCTCTCAGAGGTGGGCAGGCTCTGGCAGGGAGTTGCCTGAATGCAGGCGCAGAGTGAAGAAGGCCCAGACCTAACCAAGACCTCGTGATGCCAAGACCAGGACACCCCCTCCACAGCAGGGAGAGTGGTGCTGTGCTGAAGACGCACTCGGCCAGGCCTGGCCCCAAAGCCATGGCCTCTGTGACTTTGGGCAAGTCCCTTCTCTGAGGCTCATCTTCCCCAGCTGTGAAAACCCGAGCTGTCACAGGTTCTACGTCACGGAGCTGCCGTGAAGGCTCAGGGTCCCCAGCGGGTGTGCAGCACGCGGCACGCACAACACATGCACACAGCTGCTGCCACCATGACTGCACAACGCTTTACAACATGGGCTGTGGCACTTGGCTGCTCCAACTGTCCAACGCCAAGTTTACTCAGAGTGCAATCCAAAGTTTCTTTCAAGGTCTACAAGACCCTGCATCGGTGATCTGGCCCTGGTTACCTCTGACCTCATCTCCTACCCATCTCTCTCCTTCATCATCCACTGTAGCCAAACTGGCTCCTTCTGGAACACACTGGAAACAAGCACTTGTTCTTTCTGTCCACAATGCTTTTCTCTCAGACTGTGGCACAGTTTATCCTCCCTCCCCGCCCCCTTCCCCTCTGCTTCAGGTCTCTGCTCAAAAGTCACCTGTTCCGGGAGGTGTTCTCTGACCACTTCATCTATAACACTCTCCACCCTCCAACCCCATAAGGGCAGTCAGCTTTCTTTACAGGTCTATCACCAGCATCTCGACTAGTACCTGGTGTGTGACA